GCGCTGTCCATGGTGCTGAACCCTCAGTCCCTGCTCTTGTACCCACCAATGAACTTGGCTCTCTCCTGCCCATGCGTGTGGGGACCCCTCTTGGAGCCCTCCTCAGGTCTGAGGACGCAGTAGGCTTTCGGGAAATGTCCTACCCTCATGGACCTCCTTCCAGAAAGCTTTTAGTCCCCATTAATAAAAATACCATTATTGACTTTTCATGTCTTTGGCTCATACTTATTGAGCCTTTATATAGGCCAGGCGTCCTGCCAAGGGCTCTTCATGCCGCATCTCACTAGAGAGTTCCCGCAAACCTAGGCGTCAGGCACTATTAGTGTGCCCATTCTACAGATGGGCACACTGAGGAATGAAGAGGATGTGGAACTTGGCAGGAAGTAGTGGGTTTAAGGATTCAAACCCAAGTCTGCTGGATTCTGGATGACCTCACTGGCATCTCACAGAAGAAGTCCACTGTATGTGGAAGAAAGTGAGCCCATGTTAGGAAAAGGGCTAGCCTGCGGTCCTAAAGATGAATCAGAGCCAATTCTAGAGGGCATCCCATGAGGATGGTGGGAGTAAAGAGCAGGTGCATCCCCCTAGCTGGGTGTCACCAGGGATTGAGCAGCCAAGAACAGAGAAGTTTGTGAAGGCTTCCTTGGAAAGGGTCAGGAAAACAGCCATGATGAATGGGGAGATTGTGCCTGTCTGTTTACTCAGTAGAGGAAAGGACAAACCAATCCCAGGACAGACTATCACCCCACGAAGGGAACTGGCTGTCTCCCAGGTTCTTCCCCCACCCTCAGTAGGCTGGAAAGTCAGTCAGCTCTGCCTCTGGCTCCATAACACTGGGCAAGTGGTCAAATCTTCCTGAACCTTGGTTTTCCACATCTGTAAAAAGGGCTGCCACGAGTGTTAAAAAGGAAAAGGGGCATAGAAATCCTCCACACCGCGCCTGTAGAATTCTGGACGAATGGGGCTTGTTGTTGACATTATTAGTTGTGAGGCACGCCCACTCTCACGCACATTCACCAATTTGTTCACATTATTCATTCATCAAATATTTATGCAGATGTTAAAGCATTAAGTGGCTTGTGCGAAATGCTGTGGGGCACATAGGAAGGTCTGGAACTGAGCCCCCCACCACGCCTTTGCCCGCGCCATTTCCTTCACCTAGAGCACCGTCTCCCTTTGGCTTAGTTCTCCAGCAGCTTCTGAGACTCAAGCAAATCGTGGTGGTGGTGATCAGAGCAGGCTTCCAGAGAAAGAGAGCGCTGGACACCCCCCTCCATGGCTCCCTTTGCCCTTCCCCATCTCTCTCACTTTAACTGCAAAGGGGGTGGGAGGTGTTCAGGAGTAGGGCTAGGTTTCCAGAGTCAGAAACAGTGCCTGGAATATAGTAGGTGCTCAGTTAATGCTCGCTGAGTAAGTACATGAGTGACTGCATGAAGGAACCCCGTGGAGTTTGCCATTCACAGCCTCAGGATCCTGCTAAGACATAGCAAGCGGATTGGGGAGGGGAGAGCGGGGCTTCACATACAAAAAGAAATGAGGGGGACAGAGACAAGGCTTGCACAGGGTGCTTTCCCATGCCTTGGTGTGGGGAATGCACACAAGAGGCTGTATTTGCCTGTACTTGCTTACGTATTTGCATGGTGGAGTTTGCTTGTGTGTACATGGATGTACTTGTGCATGTGTAGAAAAACATGTGTTCATGTGCCCCATTTGAGTGCAGCTGAGGGTCTGCACATGTGTGCCTGGGAGTGAGGTATGACTGGATGTGGGACATGCTGGTAAGTGTGAGCTTGTGTGATGTGTTAGGTAGAGCGCATATGCTGGTGTGTGTGTACATGCTATGCAGTTGTACAGCAGGTATGTTTGTTTACCTGCACACATGTACACACTCATGTGCACCTATATACATAAGTGTGTGCTTATATGCATCATTTACCCATTCAAAGGGGCTGCTTTGAATGTCTAGTCAAGTGTTGTTATGTATGTACACATATGGCCTTGGGGTGTGTATATGTGTATACATGTGTGTTTCATGGGATTTGGGGCCCTAACAGGTATATATGGATACATTTCTGAGTGAACTTTATGTGACATGTATCAAACATATGTGGACACATCAATATGTGTTCTTGCAGATATGTACGACTGCATTGCGGCAGACTGTGTCCCATAGACACACGTGCACATGTGTTCACATGGGCATGTGAACTTACATGTGTGTTCATGCATGTGCGGTCTCAGGCACATGGTCTGCATGGAGCTTTAGTGGATCCTGAGCATTTCTGCTCAGTCAGGGACAAGTCTGAGTATGAATGTATGCATGTATGGGCACACGTGTGTGGGCCCCTGGGTGGGGGGGCAGGTATTTCCTCAACTCCAAGGATGAGCTCAGGCCCCATGGAAACCCCTCCCAGCCTAGTTTCACACCTGCCCAGCCCACCTCACCCCTCCCACCCCCCAGCGCTCCAGGTTTGCCCCTCCTGGGCAACATCCCCACCCCTCCCAGGCTTGCCTCTCTCCAAATTTCTCCCTCTCCCACCCCTCCCTGCCTCCTCCTACACCTCAGGGCTCCACACGTCCCACCCCTACCCCCAGCCTTGGCCCACCTAGCGACCCCGTCCCTCTTCTGGTGACTCCTTCTCTATGAGGCCCACAGAACCCAGCACAGTTCTTCCCCAAGGCCTGCGTTTCTGGAAGCCTCCTCCCTCCACCTGCCCCCATTCGCAACACCCCCGCAGCCGAGCCTCCTGCTTGCGTCAGAGTTAAGGGTGAGATTCCTCCGCCTCCATCAGGCAAACCTTCCAGAGAAGCCCAACTTGGAGGATGTGAGATGGACCGGGGTGGGGGGTGGAGGAGTGAGAGGACGGAGTTAGCTGGGACACCCACATTGGCCCCTCCTCGAGTACCACACCCCGCAAGTGCCAGGCAACTTAGAGGAGGGGGAGAGGTCAGCAGTGAGTTTGGACGTTCCCCTTCCCCTCCCCTTCTCTCCTCTGTTCTAGTCTGTGGGAGTCGCATGGGGGTCCCCATTCACTTGCCCACTCCCCTAACTCTATAGAGCTGGAGGCCAGGGGCTGGACGAGTTGACCTTCGATCTTAGGGACCCTTCTCCCACCAGCCCTAGTCTCGCCCGACCGAAACAAGTTCAAGGAAAGGAGGCCCCTGTCTCTTTAAGAATGCCCGCGTCCACGCCGGCCCGGCTCGGCCCGATTTGCACACGGGATGCCGCCGCGGCGGGGAGCGGGCAGGCGGGGCTGGGTTTGTGAATGGAGTGGCTGGGGGGGAGGGGCGGGGAGGGGGGCG